CAGCCACTGTTACCAGTGAAAAGAGAGCCGAGGGAGGAGAGATCATGGAGACGAGGAAGGGAGGGGCAGAGACATCTTTGTTGAGTCCCTACTTCCCATAAGCACTGTGGGAGCGACTTCCATACAACGTCATCAGAGTTACCGGCCACTCTCCTCAGTCTCCTTTGTTGGCTCTTCCTCTTCCGACCTCTGAACTTTGGAGTGCTCCAAGGCTTATCCCTTGGTCCACTTTTGGGTCTACAACGGCTCCCATGGAGATCTCACCCAGTCATGTGGTCTTCAATATCTTCCGTATGTCAACAACTTCCAGCTCAGCCATCTTTCCTGAACCCCTGACTGTCCACTCAACGCCTCCTCTTGAATAGCTATTAAGAATCTCAAATCTGGGCGCCTGGGTGGCTCAGATGGTTAAGCGTCTGCCTTCGGCTCAGGTCATGATCCCAGGGTCCTGGGATCGAGTCCCGCATTGGGCTCCCTGCTCTGCGGGAGCCTACTTCTCCCTCTGCTTCTCTCTCTCTCTCTCTCTGTCTCTCATGAATAAATAAATAAAAAATCTTTAAAAAAAAAAAGATTTAAAAAAAAAAAAAAGAATCTCAAATCTGACATACTTAAAACTGAGCTCCTGATCTTGCCAGCAAACCTCTCCACTCCATCTTTTCTATTTAGTTGTCGACAACTCATATTCCAGTTGCTCAGGTCAAAATCATTGAAATCATCCTTGATTCCTCTCTTTCTCTTTTACCCATAGTTAATCTATCAAGAGATTCTGTTGGCTCCACTTTCAAAATACATCCAGAATTTCACCCCTCTTACCACCTGGTCTAATCCACTGTCACTGGTAAATCCACTCTCACTGTAAATTCACCATCATCCTCAGTCACCTGGATGCCTCGCCTTATCCTAACTGGGCTCTCTGATTTCACTCTTGACCATCTCCATGTCTAGTCATTTCTCAACAGAGCAGCCACAGTGATCCTCTTAAAACCAGGCCAGGTCACTTTCTTACTAAGCTCAACATTCTCCAGCATCCTCCCATTTCAGGTAAAGTAAAATCCAAAGTCTTTCTAACTAATGAGAAGGCCAGGGCCTGGCCTACGATTATTTCTCTGATCTCATTGCTATTTGTGGGACACACTGGGCATTCTCTCACTTAAGGGGCTTCCCACCGGCTGCTCACTCTACTTGGAACACTTCTTCCCAGATACACACTAGGATAGCTACCCCAACTCTTTCCAGGTTACCTTCTCAAGGAGCTCTGTTGTGACTCTCCTATTTAGATAAGCTAACTCCACTCACATCCTCCTCCCAATGTCCAAGCTCCCCTGCCCTACTCTATTTTTTTCTGTAGCAATTTATTACTTTTTAACATACTATACAATTTATAGTTAAATGTAGTCTTTGTTGTCTGTCCCTACCTACTAGAATAGAAGACCCACGAGGGCAAATGATTGCTTTGTTTGTTTTGTTCATCTGTGTTTCCCAAGTACCTAAACTGGACTTGGCACAAAGTAGACACTCAATGAATATTTGCTGAGTGAAGGAACGAGTGAATAATAGAGCATTAATTGAGGATTTATTATATACCAGGTCATATCCTAAGTATGTTTTAGATATCATCCCATACATAAATGATACATACATAAATGTCACCACAATCTATGAGGTAGGTATTAATTATTTCACATATAGATAAGGATATGAGATTTAGAGATGTTCAAAGGTAGAACTGAGATTTGAACCTTAGCAGCAGTGTAGTCCCAAACCCCTCAATTTTTAAACTCAACCAGCCTATAAATCAGGTAGATAGGTAAGGAGCTATAATTATTCTCATTTTCAAGATGACACAAATGAAACTGAGAGATTTTACCTAACTTTCTCACCGTTTCATACCTAGTGAGTGGGGTATGACTCCAAAATTCATTGGTCTGTTGTATCTCCTGGAGCCTGGTGACCATCCTTGCCCTTTTCAAAGACCCTTTCCCTCCATTGCTTAATAGTTTCGCTTTGCCCTCTCTTCCATGTCCAAGACATTCCATGGCCTGTTGCCCTGAAAATTCCCCTGTGGCAATCCACCACGGCATAGCTCTCTTTGAGAGTACCTTCTCTCAGATCTGCTACCACTAGCCTTCTCGGTGTCTCTGAGAAATGGAAGAAAACTGTCAACCCTCCTCCCACCCAAGAAAAATGCACATAAATACAACATCGTGACTACAATGGACTCTTAACTCAAGCTGATTCGTTCTTGACCTTTCTCTACTCCTCTTCTAATAAAAAGATACCTTCCCGCTATCCCGTCTTCTAGGGGTTTTGCTAAATAAATGGCTAGTTATTTATATGTGTCAGGGAGGGCTTATAGATTCATTTATTCATTCCAAAGGCATTTTTGAACATCTGTAGTATACAAGGTACAAGAGTAAGCCCTATGAGGATTCAAAAACAAGGTTGGCAGTACCTTGCCCTTAAGACATTGTCAATCAGAGCCAATGAGACTCACTTTTTGTGTTTTTGTTTGAGTTATTTCTTTCCACTTGATTTAGTGTCGAAAGACCTGCAGCTGCTACAGCAGTCTTGCTACCATGAGAGGATAACCTGTCTAGGATTGGAGCCAACCAAGAAAAACTGGAGCAAAGAGGTGGACAAGGAGAGAAACTGGCCCCTGATCACACAGTTTTATCCTCTGGATCAAGTTGTTCCTAAAGCTAGCCCTAAGTGGATTTTTGTCTGCTACCAAGGGCAATAAACTATTCCCAACCAAAACAGTGTTAACATACAGGTTTGGATTATCTTTTTAACCTCCTGGTCTTCCAGTAACAGCCTCACACATTCTTACAGCCCCTTTAGAATCTTTACTCAGTGCTGGAAGTGGGTATCTGTTCTACTGGACCAATGATGAATCTCTTCAACATCTTGTCTTATTGAAACAACACTGTCCCAGAATCAGCCCAGCTAAAGCAGTAGGACAGAAAGGAAGGTCAGTGGTAGGACCAACCTGCACATCCTCTTCTTAGCCAGGCAAGAGTGCATTAGTATCTGAGGCCAAACGGACACTCACTGGGAAGGCGGCTGAAACTAAGAGCTCTTGAAGGGACCTAAGCCAAAACTACCAGCTGGAACCCAAGCAAAAAAAATCTATGTGGGTTGTACCTTGTTGAACAAGTGCTAAGGGAAGAGGAGGTGGTCATGGGAGATTAGCCAGAGAGCACACTGTCAGAAATTATAAGGTGCAGTGGTTCCCCAAAGAGCCAGTATTCAGATATCTGTTATAACAGAGGATATTCAACAGCCAAGAGAGAATCTGAAATAGCACCATTTTAAAAGTTCTTTTCTTTCAATCTCTCTCCCACTTATCCTGATTAAAGATCACAAAATGAGGGGCAGAGAAGGAAATAAAACAAAAAAAAGAAAGAACTTTCTTCCCTTTTATCATCCCCAAACTATGAGTTAGGCCCAAACGGAGGGAAAGAGAGGTGATTCAATTGAATGAGAGACTGAAGATTTGATTTGGATTGGATTTTGTTACACACATAAATAGGTAACTGCTCTAATACCTCAAGAGGATTGGGAAGCTATGGGATCTGCCAAGGGATGGGGAAGGGAGGATGCTTTAGCATATGTTTGAAGAGAGCGTCCAAAGAAAGAATAAAGCTGTTCCTGATGGCAGCCCACCAAGTTTGGCCAAATCACTAACAGGTTACACTGTACGTTGATCTCTGGAGTTATTCCATAGGCTTATCTTGACGTAGGCCATAGGAAATAGCAGTAGCTAACTCACCCTTGTATGTATATATGTATGTATGTATTCATTTATTTTTAAAGATTTATATATTTATTTTAGAGAGAGACAGCACATGAGCGGGGGAAGGCCAGAGGGAGAGAGAGAGAGAGAAGCAGACTCCCTGCTGAGTGTGGAGCCCAAGCTGGGGCTCCATCCCATGACCCGAGATCATGACCTAAACTGAAGTAAGAATCCAATGCTCAACTGTCTGAGCCACCCAGGTGCCCCTCACCTTTGTATTTACTGTCATAATGGCTTCTCTGCTAGGACCCTTGAGGAAATATCTCTTCGAGCTCACTATCAGGGATAGTTCTGCTTCTCTGGACCAAACAGTGCGTCCATCCAATGGATACGCCAAGCAAAACGAAGAGCATCCATGAGAAAGTTCTATTCTGCATGGAGTATTTTACCACTGACATTGTTTACAGGTGCTGCACATGGTGGTGATAAATCAACGTTTAGTCTATTACATTGTACTTCATATATTTTCTACAGAAAAGGCACCCCCTTATTTCCTACACCCCTTCGTGGAGTGCTTCACCTCTTTATCCTAAGGACACAGTGAATCAGGCTTTTCATCTTTGTTTCAGCTGCTAGAAAATTAGAATCAAATTTGCCTGTTACTGTTTGCTCCCTTGTCCGCCAGCACATTTTCCATACGAGGCCTCAGTCCTGGCTCCAGCTTAGATCATGACATTTTTTTTTTTCCTTCACGCTGTCCCTCTCTCTTGTATTTTTTTTTTTTTAGATTATTTATTTATTTATTTGAGAGAGAGAATGAGAGAGAGAGAGAGCGCATGAGAGGGGGTTGGGTCAGAGGGAGAAGCAGACTCCCTGCTGAGCAGGGAGCCCGATGTGGGACTCGATCCTGGGACTCCAGGATCATGACCTGAGCTGAAGGCAGTCGCTTAACCAACTGAGCCACCCAGGCACCCTCTCTTGTATTTTTAAACCCACTTCTAATCACATTATTTCTGTGTGCATATCTTTGTAAGCCCATTGAAATCCTCTTGGCACAAGATACGGAAGCAGAGTATAAACAGAAAGAAGGATCTTCAGGGCACATATTTAATGATCTATCCCAGGTGTGTAGAATCGCACGTGTCCTTCCTCCTAGACACAGGACGTACATGTGCACATTTTGCACCTTTCAAAATGCAGGAAATGGCCCCTGGAATGCTAGGTCAGGCTTTCTCAGCAAACAGCACCACATGGCGTAACTCACCTACCCCAGTAGTGTGATCTCCCTTAGGTCCCGTGTAGGAGGTGGGCGTCTCTCCCCTCCTTCTGTACCAGCTGCTCCGGTCTCTTCTCTCCTGGGTAAATGCACACTCATCTTGTTCGAAAGTACACTCTCCAGGTGCTGGTGGAAGCCTCTCTGCAGGGAAACAGAGGGTGGTGTCATTACTCTTGCCTCCAGCTAGAGCCTGGACTCCACCTGCGGGTCCTGCTGTAGAGGCAGAGAACAATCAGACATCTAGATTCAAAAGTGTCGGGATAACTTTGAGAAAGAAACTTCCTCTGACTGGTGAATTTATTTGCCTGCATGAGCTTACAAAGCTCTGAAAGTTGGAGGCAAACTGCCTTTATGGAAATACGGAAAATAATAAAATTGCCTAATGTAGGAGGTTTCTTCAGAAATCCAGGGCGAGTGAAGGGATTCTTAGAACAACTCTATAGTTGCTTCGGGGGAGGTGGGGAAGGTTCGAAAGCTAAGTGTGCCTCTGGCGACAGTTTGACCTGTGTGGAGCACGTGACTGGCTTTTTCTGTGCTACCTCAAGGGACTGTATTCAATGAGATGATGTACGTAGTAAAGTATTTAGAACATGAAGTTCTCAGTAAATATTAGCTAAATAAATATTAGGGCTTGGTGTTTTGCCACCTGGAGTCTTAATTTCCCTTTCCCAAAACAAATATTTATGTCTTTGGATGCCGTCTTCAATAACTTCGATGATGATTCATTTTTATTTTATTTATTTATTTGAGAGAGAGAGCACGAGCGGGGGAGAGACAGAGGCAGAGGGAGAAGCAGACTCCCCGCTGAGTGGGGAGCCTGACATGGGGCTCCATCCCAGGACCCGGGGACCATGACCTGAGCTGAAGGCAGAGGCTCAACCAACTGAGCCACCCAGGCGACCCTGATGATGATTCTTAGAATGGTGCCACCTCCCACTTACTGGAAACTCCTTTGCTTGAACTTGGTTGTACCTTCCCACATCCAGATTCTTAGCAAATTTCTCTAATACACAGCCTGTTTTTCACATCTCTTGCGTAATAATGATTTTACTTCATCTTATTTTACAGATGGGTACAAGCTAATGAAGCCTCATTCCCTTTTCTATGCCTCAAGTGTAGAGATTCTTATCTTGTTTTTCTTTGCGTTGTCCTTGCAGTGCCTCACAAATCAAGGGACTAAAAACAAATTATCTTTTCATTAAATAAACAAGGAGATTATCCTCTAGTGCCACATTGATTCCTCAGTTTGCCTGTTTGTTAAAGAAATAGATACCCTATGGTTTAGGATGCAGTGGTAATCAGCAGATACAAGGACCAATGATCCGGGTTGAGGTATGTACCATTTTCTCATCAGACATAATGTCCAACACATAGCCACCATCTTTATTTTGTCACTATCATCAATGCTTGATCCACTGTTCCACTGTCATTCAATTCACTTAGAAAATATTTATTTTATTATCATTTAAAAATTACATGTTTACAGGCTCAGCATTGGGCGTGGAGCCTGCTTAAGAGTCTCTCTCTCCCTCCCTCTCTCTCTGCCCCTCCTTGCCTCTCTAAAAAAGAGAAAAAAGAAAAAAAAGAAAAATGACATGTTTAGTATAATATCTGTGTAAAAACGGTTTCATCACTATTACTTGAAAATCTGCATTTCTGTAAGACAACATTAAAAATAACAATAGTGACTATAATAGAAGGTGTTTGTTTTAACACATTGTTTTGTGCCAGGTCCTATGCTAGGGAATTTATAGGTATTATTCCCACTGTTCAGGTAGGTATTACTTTTACTACCTCTCTTATAGATGAGGATACAAGTCACATGTACAATGTCACACGGTGCATACAAATCATTATTTCTAAATTCCAAAACTTACTACACAGATCTGGAGAGGGGTGCTTCTGACAAGAAAAACAAAAATAATAGGCTAGCCCAGATTAAATGTATTTGGTGTATTCTCAGAGAAACAGGATATGCTGGCCTAGGCCCGGGAGACAAAGAGAGCTTGAAACCCTGACAGTCTTACCTGGAGACGAGCAGCTTCCCAATTCTATTGTAATGTCGTCCAAGGCTACCAGGCCACAGTCCCAAAAACTTTTGCAAAGGCTCATGAAAACCACCTGAAATTCAGAAAAATAAAACCATGAATTTTGTTAACTGCGCATTAGAAATTCTTACAACCTGGGATTTACTCAGCCCAAAGCATGCATAAGCAAACTACAGAGTCCTCTACCTTGTCCACATGAACATGAATAACAGCTAAGCCTTTACACGGGACCCTGAAATCACTTCCACTCTTTTTTTAAGCAGAGTTAAGCTCATATGATAGGTTGTGTATATTAATGCTGGAATTAGCTCACATTCTTTCTGGAATTGAAGGAGGAAAGCAAGAGGTTAACCGGATGGCAGAGGAAAACCTGTCAGGTTTTAAATATTTTCCCCAGATAATCCACAAAGTGCATAGAGAGTTGATGGTATTCCAAGCATTTTTACAAACATTTCCAGTACAAACAGTATTGATTTTTTGGAAATGAATTTCTGGCAATGTGCTTCATTCATATTATGAACAAAGTCCCAGTGATTTGCCATCTGGAGACTTATGTTCCATTTCCAAAGAGAAGATATATGTCCCTAGATGGTATCACTAATAAAGGCCCTAAATGCAGCTATTTTATCAGGCCAAACATTCTTACTCTTCTACATGAAAGAAAAACAGATCCATACCATCAATTATTAAATTAATTGCTGCAGAGAAAGGGGGGTGGGGAGGGAGAGAAGTTTTGCATTTCTTTCTATTAGACCAATTTTAAAGTTTCTTTTTCATATACAGGATGAGCAAAGAGTACTTTTCCAAACATTTATATTAGATTTTCACTGTACTTTGTGTTTTATTTTTTTTAATATTTTTAATTTATTTATTCGAAAGAGAGAAAGAGAGAGAGAGTGAGCACAAGCAAGGGGAGCGGCAGAGGGAGAAGCTGAGCAAGGAGCTGCCTGCGGGACTCGATCCCAGGACCCTAGGATCATGCCCTGAGCCAAAGGCAGATGCTTAATGGACTGAACCACCCAGGCGCCCTACGTTATGGTTTATAAAGCTGCTTTGCATGTGTAGCCTAATGTAGAACGAGTATGAAGTCACTCAGTCCACGTGCAATCCCTCAAATACAAATCTTCAAACAAAGAGAGACATAATAGAAACTAATAAGTCTCAAATCAGAAATAATGAGAACCTTTGATTTTTTTTAGATTCTAATATTATGTTATGTCTTCAACTTATCTGTGTTATCAGCAGGATCTCTTTGCTCTCTGAGGATCAGAACCATTAGCATACAAAATTTATTTCAAAAGAAATTTTAAAATGATGTGACAGTTTACCACTATGCAAACTATAAAATGTCTTAAGCCAGTATCTTCAGAATAATTACTAAGGATAAGATGTGTAAAAGTTTACTTGGACTGTATTCAGATTGCCTTAAATCATAAAAGGGATAGTTTAGAGATGTAACAATATATAACTATATATATATATATATATTTACAAGGGACAAGATAAAAGGGGGTGTTTTTGTTTTTGTCTTATCTGTTAATTTTCTCATCTTTATAGATTATAGAGATTATCAGCAGGGTTTTCTACTTGCAGGATTTTTTTGGCAGGATTTTTGCCTGGGAACTTATTTCCCATTTGTAAACCAAATGTCTATGTCATCAGCCCTGAATGCAGTTATATTTTATCAGCAATGCTTATTGTTATAGGGGAAAGAATAGTAATCTGTCTCTTAATTTATTGAATAAATGGTGCTGCAGAGATAAAAAGTCCTGGCTTTCCTTCCTTTTGGCAATTTTCAAGTCTATTTTTCACCTAAATGTTGAAAGAGTACTTTTTCCAAAATGAATCTGGGGTGCTGAAATGATTTGCCACATAAACCATTACCTAAGTAAGACTCAATTATTTGGCATGTAGATGGAGTCTAAAAAGGAGAAATAGCAATGTGCTCTCATGTGTTTACTATAGCATTATTTTATGATGACCATAAAACCAAACAAGCAAGCAAATAAGCCAGCAAGCCAACAAATGAAACAACCCTAAATTTCACAGAAATACAGGAAATGAATAAACTATGGTACTGCAAGCTAAGAAATAGGCAAACATTAACTCTGACAGCTTGTGAATATTAGTCAGTAATATGAAATTCTATTTCTCTCATAATGTGAAGCAAAAAAAAAGCTGGTTATAATAAAATTAAAATTAAACAAAATAAGATAAATTATACCGAACTCATCTAAAAGTTTGTAAAAAAAAAACGAATCTTGAAAATTTATCAAATTTGGAGCAATTATGTTAGACTCATGAAATTATGAGTATTAAACAGAATTTCCCCCTATTTTCCAACCATTCTTTAATTTTGTTGTATTTATAATGAAAAAAAAAAACAAAGAAAAAGGGATCAGGACATCTGTAATTAAGATGTGGAATGAGCTAGTGTTTCCTAGATTGGCATTGTTTATTATAGTAACTACGAGGCCACATGGCTATTTAAATTAAAATCAAGTAAAAATCAAAAATTCATTTCTTCAGGCACACCGGCCACATTTCAAGTGCTCGATAATTATACACAGCTAGTGGTCAAGTGAATTGGACCCAGCAGATACATAACATTTCCTCATTGCAGAAATTCCAATGGATAGAACTCCCTGGCTCCTTTTGAGGATTCTGAACAATTTGTGAACTGCCACAGTGGGTTAAGTGAAATGCTCAAGCTGTTCTGGACAAGAGCAGCCCACTAGGTTGTTCCTCTTAGAACTCTTTCCACACTTAGAATACTTGCCAGACCACACGTTGTCCTGTCTTATAAAAGATCCACAGTCAGTCAGCTATGAACTAAGATTTAAACTATGGCCTTAAACCTCAAATCTGTTTGGTGCTTGCCTATCAGCATTCCAACACACAAAAGAAACATGACAAGATCAGCTTGTTTGGTGGAACACACAAGATTTTCCACTGTGCTATTAATAATGCTGATAAGGTCAGTTCCTATTCTTGGGCCACCATCTTATATTTTGAGGGCTACTTGAAGTGGAAAGGTTATTTTAGGGTACTTGGGACAGGGCCAGCTAATGACCAGGACTGGTTGAGATAGGGAAAAGGGAAAGCCAAACATCGTGGTCTGCTCTTCAGAACTCTGTCCCTAGGTCCAGTTAACGTGACAAGAAGGGAACTGGTCATAGTCTAAATTCTTGAGGGATTAACCTCTTGCTTATTTGTAGATCTTTTAAAAAAAAGTGTTTATTTCATTTTAGGCAGGATTTCACAGCCAGTGGAATACCTCTAGGGACTGGAAAAAAATTCCTAGGCTACCTGAATATATACTTAACGTCCTGTAATGCATCAGAGAGTCCTCCGCAACAAACAATTATCGATAAGAATATTAAAATACCAAAATATCAATAGTGCTGAGATTGGAACACCCTGCTGTAAATAAATGAGCACATACAATGTCTTTTTTAAGTATGATAAAAAGTTGGGCGCCTGAGTGGCTCAGTCAGTTAAGCGTCTGCCTTCGGCTCAGGTCATGATCCCAGAGTGCTGGGATCGAGTCTGGCACTAGGCTCCCTGCTCAGCGGGGAGTCTGCTTCTCCCCCCTGCTCATTCTCTCTCTCTCTCAAATAAAGTCTTTAAAAAAAGAAAGTATGGTAAAAAGTTAAGTAATATTGTTGATCCTTTCTTGACTATATTTAAAATTTTTGTTTGCAAATCTGTTAATATAGCTCTCCAGTTAGTGTCTATTTGTGTTTCCAAAGTAGTCTAAGTAGGGTTTCTCAACAATGAATATTCTCTAGCAAAACAAAAATTGTAAAGTATCACCAGCACCTAAGAACTGGGACCTTTAATACACTGAAACAATGTGATTTATAAAAATCTCATTTGCCCCTAGGTTTTAGGAGATTTGCATAAAATCAGGAATACCTGTCTAAGGAATGTATTATTTCACTTTGTGCCTCATCTTTTCCCTCTCAGACTAATATATACTCTCTGAGACATTGCAGGATGTTAGGCAGCAACCTGTTACCCGCTAGATAACAGTATCACTCCCAAGTCGAGACATTCAAAAATATATCGAGACATTGCCAAGTGTCCCTTGGGGGGGCAAAATTACCTCTGGCTGAGAACCACTGGGGGGTAGTAGAACACTGCTGTGTGGATGACAAAACCTCCCTTTATTCTACCCAATCAGAACAGGACAGTTGTTGCTGGTTTAAAAGCAGACTAGATGGAGTTAGTTTTCCCTTCCTCTGAATGTCACCAGGAGGTGGTTCTAACAAGCAATGAAATATCCTCAAGCCCTGGAAACAGAAGTCAAAGGAGCCAAAAAACAAGAGAGATGGACGAACACTCAAGCTAAACAATCATCCCTGAGATTATCAAGGCTCTACTGTTCCAGTTTCCTGCTTTCCTGCAAATTGTCAAAGGGCCATAGAATCTTTTCTTTGTTTACATTTTTCTCCCTTTCCAAAAAGGATGATCTACTCCCTCACAACAACGTAACGGGCAGCAGATCGTAAAAAGTAACTGAGCAAACTTTCCTCATAGCATATAATTTTAATTGGCTTCTAAAGTTATTTTTTGGGGGGAGGAGGGGCAGTAAGGGTGGGGAGAGGGGCCGTGTGGGAATCCAGCCACCAGGCTGTGTTAATCAGAGGAGCTAGACTATCCCCAGGCCTGTAAAAGCCCATAAAATTTCCTGGTTAAAGCACCCAGGAAAGAAAAAGCAGATAAGTATGTCGGGAAGTTACTTTCCCAAACCAGATCAGGGTAAGTTTTGGGGTTCAGGAATTGGGGTTACTGATTTTAACTTTATGAAGTGTCATAATTTAAGGACTACCCAACTTCGCTGAGGGAGGGAGGAAATAAAGCTTTCCTGAGAGCTGTGTAATATATCACCACAAAACTTTGTTGTGCAGTTAAAAAGGATTGTTTGAATTAAACAGCTAAACACTGAATTAACTGGTTTTTCACTGTCTTGTAGTCTCCATGGCCTGCTCAATAGACATAGTTGGGCCAGATTGTTGGCTTAACCCACCACCTACTTTACTCATTGAATAGCCCCAGTTGGGCCTATAA